AAGGGTTATTTGAAACCAATACATGGAAACGCTGGTGCTTGAAACACTGTGAAGTGAAAAAAAAAAAAAATAATTGAACAGTTCAAGATCTGGGACAGTCCCCTTCTGTGAAAATACTGAAACTGAAATGGAACTGGTCTTAGGTGAAAAGTGTTCCTGAAGGTTTGAACCTGGATGGAACCTGTTCTCTCTATTGTTCCTTCCCCGTTTCTTCCCTAAGCAATGGCTAAAATATACTGGACACACGGTTTTGATTTTTATAGCTTGGGATCTGAAATGAGAAAAGATTGCTCCGGGTAGCTTGTATTTCCATTAGGGTAACTCAGATTGGCGATGTGCGAGTTGGTGCCCGGCTGGAGTGTGAGCGTTCACAACCAGACTGGTGTCGGCGTGCCACGAATCCATGTATTTTGGTAACGTGAGCATCGCTGTGTCGTGCATAGCCCATCCCATCCCACAGACGTTTGGTGTTCTTTGATCTAATGAATTGCATCCGCCTGCATCGGTGACCGAGGTAACTTCAGAACTGGAGTGGTTTGCTTTGGGCTGGAAGGTGGCAGGGAGCCGGAGGGCTGGTTGAGGGAGCAAGCTGCTGCTCATTCCGGCCAGCGGCACGTGGGATGGTTGTTGTCAGCCCCTTCCGTCCATCCCGTCCGTGCTGGTGGGGTGGCTCTTCTCCTTGAAGTCCATCCATATTCTGAGAGTGGTTTCTGAACAGCATCTTGTCCAGTGATGCCTTTGGGCTTGTCAGCCTTCGGATGTTTCTGGGTCTCCTGCTGTGGGAGCAAAAGTAGGGAAAAGCTTTCGTGCTGGCAAGCAAGCGACGTGTGGCTCGTGCTCATGACCAGCATCTCCTTCATTCTTGCTCTAAAGCTATTCAGACTGTAATTTCTTTTCCTGGCCTGTTAGTGTTGCTTTACAGTTTACCTTCCATGCATTATCCTGCTAAAACACTAGGCTGAAGAGGTGAAACAAACTTTTTTTTTTCTTTTAAAAAAAAACCCCAAACAACCCAGAACCCCAAACCTCTTTGGCTTTTCATCTTTATTTAGTGGCCCCAGGGTGCTTTGCAGTAATTTCAGGCGCAAAGGCTGTGGCTTCATTTGACATCAAATGCATAACTTTTGGGTGTGATGAAAGAGGGCCACATTTTGACAACTTTGTGCCAGCTTGTTATATTGTGAATTATTTGCTTAACAAGAGTAATTTCTCTTTGTGGAGGCAACTGATTTAACATTTCTTTTAAAATCTGTGTGGTTTTGAGTAGCAGACGTAAGTTCCTTTCACACTGGTGACAGAAATAAGTGATGAAGGGATCTGTTACGACCCCTGCTCGAAGGTACGTGCAGTGGCAGTGCCTTTGCGGCAGAGGTTTTATTCCGAATACGTTCACATGGGCACCCCGACTTAATTCTGCTTATATTCACAGTATAGGCTGTCTTTACCTTTTTAAGCATTTTTAAAGTATTTATTAAAGAACCAAAGGAAACCAGATGCTTCCTATGAGCATCAAGACAATTTATTATACATAGTTTTAAATACTATGAATTTCTCAATCCACATTTTAACATTAGTGGGATATTGCAAAGACATTCCTTTTCCAGTTTTTACTATTCCTTTAAGGGTCTCAGGGAGGGTAAACTGGTCAGCCATATTTATTTATTTTACTGAAATGTATTGGAATAATTTTTTAAGAGAGATTTTTTGAAGATGCCCCTGAACTTGTATATTTTGCACTGCTTTATAAATGATCCATTATCAATTAGGCTTGCATGCGTCTCAGCCGTGATCCAGCGAAGAGTGTGAGCGAGTGGCAAGTCCCTCTGGCTTCAGCGGGGCTAATTGTGGTGCTTCAAGTCAAACCACGCGCTCACCTTCTTCCTTGAATCTGGGAATTTGTGCAAAAAAAAAAAAAAAACCAAACAAAAAAAAGAAAAAGCATTGTGTATACCAGGAAATTGCTTCTTTTTCAAGTGAAAGTGGACCTGTAGATCAGTTGAAAAAGCTTTAACACCATAACCAGCTATTCATGGCTACTGGTAAAGTCGGTCACATCTGTCTCTTTGGGCATGCCTCCTCGATCAAGTAGCTTGCTATAAATAAGTGGGAAAATTTCTTTGGAACAAGTGACCTGTAATTCTGCATTCAGTAAAAATTGCTCGCTAAGCATCGAACCTCCCCGGCCTCATCCGTAGCACTCGTGTTGTGGATTTGAAGGATGGCGTTTGCTTTTACGTTTCGGAAGTCGGCGTCGCCACGGCGCCCGTCGGCGGGTGGGATTCCCTCCGTGCTGTGCCCGTGGGTTGTCCCGCTGTTGGTGGGGAGTGTGTTCAAGAACCAAACGAACCAAAACACTAGTGTAGGGGAAGGACCAGGTTCGTGGTGTTCAGTGGCACAGAACGCAGGTAAGTAAAGCACAGTGTTACGTTTGCCAAGTTTCGACTCTTACACAGACACACACACACACAGACACCGACACAGCTTGCCTGACTCGCTCAGTTGGACATAGTTCTGCAAAGGAAAAGTGACAGCGTTTTACACCACCAGGCTATTTATTTTAATTGGAAAACTTTGCTTGTTTCAAATTGGACACATCAAAAATTTGGCAGCAGCTTCCGTGAGTTTATTTCCACTGAGATGTTTTCACCTGCCTTACCAAGATCATTCTCAGTCTACTTTTTTAAGCTCTACCATAAACTTAAATTATTGAAAATTTATTAATTGCTGACTATATAATAACCTTTGCTTGTATGTAACCGAATGGTTTTAAGAGCCAACATTTAGAGTATGACAATGGAGCTGAACAGTTTTTAATGCGCAAGCAGTTCTGTTCTTGTGTATGACTTGTAACCTTAATTTACTGTGTAAAGATGGTTACATTATTTCCTTAGCTTTGTTTGTTGGAGACAAATATAGAATGCTTGTTTAAGTATGTCAAAACATAATCTTATCTTGTGGATTTTTATGTTAATGTATTATACGAGCTATATTTTTCATTTGCCCAGAAAGACAGCTTGTATAACGCTTTTGAAAGTTTTTCCGCTCTGTAAAGTCTTTAGAGCTGACAGTCCTGTTAGGTTTGTTTTAATCTTCATGCTAAAGTGTCAATGGTGGTTTTGTGAACTGGTCAGAAATTCACAGGTCTTAAATGTTTTCGGGAAATTTATATTGGACACTGCTCTTTGTCTAGCAAATAAAAGATGTTAATATATTCCTGTTACTGGCATGTGCACGACTGTTATTAGAAGCCACTTTATCATTTTCCTGCTTTAAATAGAAATGTCTATTTATGAATTCTGCTTGTAGTTTTTTCACAAATAAAATAGTAAAATTTAATTAAATCTGAAAGCTCTCTTTTTTGGGAGATGCCAGTACTGAGAAAAAACGGAGAGTCCTGTTGTTGAAGCAACTTGTCAGTCTGTACGTCTTGTCCACGAGCCGCCGCGCCAGCACCCCGCTTCTGCGAACACATGGATGTGCACATAGAAAACTTCAGTCGAGTGAGTAAATCCAGTTTGTTCCCTGGGACTGACGATGTGCAGAAAGTTTGCAGAATTCAGGTTCTGGTACTTGGAAATAATTGTTTTTCCCCCTTTCTGTAGCTGCAGAAATGGCGAGGTGGAGTGCAGAGGATTTTAGTGAGAGCACTTGGGAGTTCCTTCAGCTGTCTTGGGCTAACAAACTCCCACGAGTAAAATTAATAAAACTTAATTGAGAGCCTAATTGTATTTTTGTAGCGTAATAATACTGATATTCTGCAAACAGTGTTTTGGTCCTCTGCCTAGGAAACAAGGTGATGTGAATTACTGTGCTCTTTCTAGTTCAGATTTTTCCCCCACCTGAGATGGGAGATGTGTGACGTAACGGTTCAAATACGAAGCTGAAATTTGAAAACTAAGCAATGGTTAAAATGCAAAGGGAAAAAACAAATCTTACTCTAGAGTTTTTCCTCAGGAATATGACGACAGCTACTACATTAAAAGCCATTTGGATATTTTTGTGTACGCGGGGAGAAGTGTGTGTTACAACTAGAGGTAGTTTTGAAAAAAAACCACTGTGCAATCTTAGCTGCTTTTAACCTCAGTTGGAAATGATTCAAAACCCTTTATGCCAAGAATAAGAAGAAACAGGAAAGGTAGTGGTTGTTCTACAGACCCAAAAAGCACTTGCTTGGCATGCCCGACGTGTGAGTAGAGAACAGCCCTTGCCTCGAAGAGTGCATGATCCCTGTCCTCAACCTGCAACCAGCCAAAGGTGCCAGAGCAGCTGCCGGGCAAAGCAGCCAGAGCTGCGGAGAGTGGAGGAGGAGATGGGCTTCATCAGCATCCTCATCAGCATCCACCTACTTCATCACCAGGTGGAGGCTTGAGTGGAGCCAGCAAATGATTCCCACAGCAGCGTTGGTACCCGCCGAGCCTGCCCGCGCACCGCTTCGCTGGGATTTCGGTTGACTGGTCACCTGGAATTCTCTTGCCTTGGAGCCACGTGAGCCAAGAGCTGCATTTGGTGCCGGAGCTGTGGAGTTGGCTGCTTCAAGGTATGTACTGGACTTGGGTGTTGTGTTGAAAGGTTTGTGTTTGGTACCTGTAGGGAGTACAGGAGGAGCTGGGGAGGTGAGAATGGGGAGCTCTAGTTCATGGCCCCACAGGGTTTTGTGAACTTTGGGGTATACTCAATTGTTTTAAGACTTGGAGATATTATAAAAATCAGCATCCACTCGTGTAACTGGGAGAGAGAAAAACCATTCCCTCTGTAACGCTCACATGTCAGCTGACTTAAAATTTTTAAAATTTACATTGGAACGTGCCTCCTTCATGCAGCAGTTTGGGGCAATTAGAACGAGAAGACGCCCA